CCCCCCCCCCCCCAAAAAAAAAAAAAAAGTTCTTTATATGTAATCAATGAATGTACATGAGAATCTTAATGGAGTATGCTTTTCAGTGCACATTGTCTCAATATCTCAACTAAACATACCATAATATATCCTCTCCTTTCACAACTGTCTTATATTTATGGTCCAAATATGAATCTCTGGATTCAGCAACAGTCTCTGGATTCAACCCAAAATTTCCATGTCATCCACCATCTTGTGATCATGAAGAGTCTAAACAGTCTCTACGTAAGATAAACCACCTTTCTTCCCAAACGGTGATGAATATAGAAATAACTACAGGATGGGTTGGCACGCACGCATGCACGCAAGCTGATTTATGTTAAAAATACCCCGTAGTGGTGAGTAGGAGCAGGGCCATCATACTAATCATGTTGCTTTAAACTACAGGCAAAACACGGGTTAGTGTTGTCATAGGTCACGCCCCTAGTGCGATTAATGGACATATAATGGCCGCCTGGACAATTAACCCCACGCAGACTATTGCTGTGATTCTTATCTTGGTCATTTCCTTTCTCATGAGATGTGTGAAGATAGCACTGAAACATGCTGTTCATCTACACCTTGTTTTTTTCTCCCTGTTTAGAGGAATCAAATTTACTAATAAATTTTTTACTATAAATGTGTGTTTACAATATTAACTTGGGTTGCCTACTGTTTTCCCATTGACAGACTCATATAACATCTGAACATCGGAAACTAATTTTTCTTTTATAAAAAAAAAAAAAAAAAACTCTGACAGGGCAGTTAACCACTCATTCCTCACTGAGTAACGTCAACCTCTCATTAATCAAGTCACAGTAACTAGACGTGAATGGAATTAATATGACAGTCATAAATTAAATACAGCAGTTGCTCATTTGAATACAGAAGTCATTAATTGAATACAGCAGTCACTGCTCAAAAACAGCACTCATCACTTGGATACAGCAGTCACTAATTGTTCACAAATTTCAAACATTTTAATAGCTCCTCATATAATGTCTTAACGTTACTTGAAACCTTAAATATTCTCTCAAACTTCAAATATTTTTTGGATGGACTGCAGTTCTTTTTAAATCGATTAAATAATTATTTATCTATTTATTTATTCATTCATATATTTTGTGAAACATAGACCAGGAGACATCAACAATTATTTGCCACCAAAGGTCACTATCTACAGTGGCAAAACAATTACTTATGTGAAATGATTGAAAGGACTTCTCTCCAAGTAAATTGAAACTTTTGTGTGTGTGTGTGTGTGTGTGTGTGTTTATGTATCAACTGTTAAAAGGTTTCAAATCATGTCAACAAAATTTTATTTTGGGTATCTTAAATCAACTTCATATGATACTACCAAGTTGCACAAACTACTGCTGTGCAGTATTGTGCAAATCACTGAAAATGTCTGGCAAATTGTTGTTTGATATTTTATACAACAGCAGTGAACAATGGTAACATGACATCTAGAGCTAACTTTCCTCTTATATATCACAAATAAACATAATCATCATCATTCATTCATTATTCATTCATCCATTCATTCATTTGTTCATTCATTCATTCATTCATTCATTCATTCATTCATTCATTCATTCTCTTAATCAGTCAACTCACCTGTGTATGTTCATCCAATAGATCAGGTAACACTGTATTCAGCACCAAGACTTCTTTGTTCACCAGGACGTTGGACAGCGTATCCTCCAGAAGCTCGCGGCGACTGGCGTACAGGGAACCCTCTGCCACCCAGCCTGGCTCAAACCAATTGTAGTCTATGGACCGGGGGTCCTTACGCCAAATTATGGCCACCTTACAGGTGAGAATGAGATAGATGGTAATTACTGGTATGTGTATTTTACAGGGGTAGCATAAAGACACTGAAGGAAAGGTTGGTGGCACTGAATATTTTCTAAAAATTACTTGATATGAGTGCGTCAAATTTGTTTAAAACATTCCACTTCCCCACAACACATGCGTCCACAAATCATCTTCTTAAAAATTTCATTAAGATTTTCAAATTTGTTTCCAATTACATGAACTTTCTCTCAGACTACCAATTTTTCATTTCAAGTACGATATTCACTCCAAAACACTTCACTTCTGAATCACCAATATTAATTTTTTCAAAGATTTCACATTTTTAATACCCAATGAAAACTTGTTTCTAACTCAAGTTCACTGTTCAAAAATCTCACTGCATCTTTCCTCTGCTACTAAGTAAAAAAACATATTTTTCAGAAATACTGTTAGTCTAAGACCCCATTCCCAAAGATTTGATCGATCCAACTAGATCGACCTAACTCCCTGGGGGTTCATGCTAAATAGCTGTCAGCCGAGCGGGCACGAAAGTTAATTACCCCCCTACAGCTTGTAGTAGACGGGACGGACATTTAAGCCAGATTATCTGACAGTAATCTAGTGAGACTCCCCACGGGGATAGATCGTTCTAAAATCTATGGGAATGCACCCTAAGAGTAATGTTAATCATTTTGCAAGTTACTATCGTAATTACATGAAACTTAAACAAGTTTTTCACCTTGAGGACAGTATCGTTATCCCCGTGTGCTCCACCTTTTGTGAGGGAGTGGATGAAGCTGGTCTGGCGATCCTCGTATATGTAACAGTGCTGCACCCTGTCCTTTGATGTCGACGTCTCACGCGCAAAATTGCGAAACGATGTTCTGTGATCTTCGTGCTGTTCAATGTTCCTTGTTAACAGAACCACACATAACCTGAAATATACGAATATCTTTGCTTAACTTAATTGTCAAGGTTTGATTTCTTTCTCACCATACTCACTGTATCTTATTATTATAATGATAATAATTGATAATTATTATTATGATTGGTCTTTATATTGTAAAAAACTTCTCACAAGACATGATTACAGTTTTGCTCACTATTATTCAATAATAATTTTTGTACCATTTCTGATATTCTGCTTAATCAAAAATCAAAATCAAAATAACAATAATTATCATACTATTTGTTCTGAAGAAGCATAAGCAGAGACAATTGGAGAAATTGCCACTGGCATAAAATTATTGCTTTATGTATGTTTTGTTGTATGTTTTGTACCACAGCCAAGAGAACTGTTCATTCCATTTACTCAACAGGCTTTTAAAAAAATGTCTTCCCTACATACTTTCTGTGAGCTCTCCTTGGTTCTACAGGACACAGTTCGTTGAACACTTTCTGTGACGACAGCCGCGGCAGGATAAGGTATTTGTTACTTTCTATCATCTCATCCATGGTGTGTCGTGCAATTTGATTGGTCTATAATACAGGAAAGAATATATAATCATTTCTCAATTTAACCCAGAGAGTAAAACCAATACACTGATAGGGTGATTGAATTTGTTTTAAAAAAATTCAACCAACTAAGGAAAAAAATGTAAGGTATCAAGAAACGAAAGTCTAACAGGTGTTACAGATTTTGGGCCACAATTTTTTCTGTCGGTTTAAGTCTCACAAAACTAAAGTCAGAATGAAAATTATCTAGTCAAAAGATCATAGGAAAAGATATCTAAAACCACCTGCTAAAAGTTTCACTAGTCTGTTTGGACCAGTAACTGACATTTTAAAAATTAGTTATATTTTTACGATTTCAACACAATGTACAAGGTTGACATAGGCATCATAACATATGCTAGCAAAATTGAAGCCAGGCTGACACAATTTTGTAAATCTGTTCAATTAGTGGCCACTTTATCTGGTTTGGACCAGTACATGCTTCAACTTTTTTTGCCATGGACTTTAAGCACCAAATCTTCAAGTCAATGGAGGCTATGGCCCCATTCACAACCAGTTGATCCACAGACTAACTTTTAAGCGGATCACATATGGGGGGGCACTTGACGTGCACGCTGTCCTAGCAGGGGCAGAGCAATTAAATCTTGGCATGCTTTCATGTGGGTCATGCCTAGTTAGTCCCTGGATCAACTAGTTGTGAACAGGGCTTATGATCACAGCCTGCTGACTGGCAGTATCGAAACCAACAATCCACTTACTGAGAGTGTTGCCACAGGTGATTGCACATTCTCATTGAAGATCAACAATGTCTCTCGGAACCTCTGCACGTTGAAGGTATCCCAGACTTCCTCCGTCAGTCCTCCGCTCATGTGAACGTAGCCAAAGGCAGCTCGGTCCTTGAAGGCAAACGCCGAGGCCAGCACGCGGAGACTCGGCACCTCACGCTCCGAGAAGAAAAGCACCCGGACTCGGTTGTCCTTCCAACTGTTGAGGAAATCTTTATAGTTCTTATCTGTCACCTTGAATAGTAAAATGTGTATCACAGTAGGAGTTTTCTCATTTTTCTATCAAAGACTAATAATAAAATTTTATTTTATTTGTGTATTACTTAATGCTTAATTTTTACCATTAAGTGTGAAATTCTACATCTTCATTTACCAAGGGGCTTTTCACTAAATTGCTTTCATGTTAAGTGGCTTAAAGTCATAATAACTCTTCGTTTTGNCTCCCTTCCCCCCCCCAAAAAAAAAGTTCTTTATATGTAATCAATGAATGTACATGAGAATCTTAATGGAGTATGCTTTTCAGTGCACATTGTCTCAATATCTCAACTAAACATACCATAATATATCCTCTCCTTTCACAACTGTCTTATATTTATGGTCCAAATATGAATCTCTGGATTCAGCAACAGTCTCTGGATTCAACCCAAAATTTCCATGTCATCCACCATCTTGTGATCATGAAGAGTCTAAACAGTCTCTACGTAAGATAAACCACCTTTCTTCCCAAACGGTGACGAATATAGAAATAACTACAGGATGGGTTGGCACGCACGCATGCACGCAAGCTGATTTATGTTAAAAATACCCCGTAGTGGTGAGTAGGAGCAGGGCCATCATACTAATCGTGTTGCTTTAAACTACAGGCAAAACACGGGTTAGTGCCGTCACAGGTCACCCCCTTAGTGCGATTAATGGACATATAATGGCCGCCTGGACAATTAACCCCACGCATACTATTGCTGTGATTCTTATCTTGGTCATTTCCTTTCTCATGAGATGTGTGAAGATAGCACTGAATATGCTGTTCATCTACACCTTGTTTTTTTCTCCCTGTTTAGAGGAATCAAATTTACTAATAAATTTTTTACTATAAATGTGTGTTTACAATATTAACTTGGGTTGCCTACTGTTTTCCCATTGACAGACTCATATAACATCTGAACATCAGAAACTAATTTTTCTTTTATAAAAAAAAAAAAAAAAAAAAAAACTCTGACAGGGCAGTTAACCACTCATTCATCCATCACTGAGTAACGTCAACCTCTCATTAATCAAGTCACAGTAACTAGACGTGAATGGAATCAATATGACAGTCATAAATTAAATACAGCAGTTGTTCATTTGAATACAGAAGTCATTAATTGAATACAGCAGTCACTGCTCAAAAACAGCACTCATCACTTGGATACAGCAGTCACTAATTGTTCACAAATTTCAAACATTTTAATAGCTCCTCATATAATGTCTTAACGTTACTTGAAACCAAAAATATTCTCTCAAACTTCAAATATTTTTTGGATGGACTGCAGTTCTTTTTAAATCGATTAAATAATTATTTATCTATTTATTTATTCATTCATATATTTTGTGAAACATAGACCAGGAGACATCAACAATTTTTTGCCACCAAAGGTCAATATCTACAGTGGCAAAACAATTACTTATGTGAAATGATTGAAAGGACTTCTCTGGCAAATTGTTGTTTGATATTTTATACAACAGCAGTGAACAATGGTAACATGACATCTAGAGCTAACTTTCCTCTTATATATCACAAATAAACATAATCATCATCATTCATTCATTATTCATTCATTTGTTCATTCATTCATTCATTTATTCATTCTCCTAATCAGTCAACTCACCTGTGTATGTTCATCTAATAGATCAGGTAACACTGTATTCAGCACCAAGACTTCTTTGTTCACCAGGACATTGGACAGCGTATCCTCCAGAAGCTCGCGGCGACTGGCGTACAGGGAACCCTCTGCCACCCAGCCTGGCTCAAACCAATTGTAGTCTATGGACCGGGGGTCCTTACGCCAAATTATGGCCACCTTACAGGTGAGAATGAGATAAATGATAATTACTGGTATGTGTATTTTACAGGGGTAGCATAAAGACACTGAAGGAAAGGTTGGTGGCACTGAATATTTTCTAAAAATTACTTGATATGAGTGCGTCAAATTTGTTTAAAACATTCCACTTCCCCACAACACATGCGTCCACAAATCATCTTCTTAAAAATTTCATTAAGATTTTCAAATTTGTTTCCAATTACATGAACTTTCTCTCGGACTACCAATTTTTCATTTCAAGTACGATATTCACTCCAAAACACTTCACTTCTGAATCACCAATATTAATTTTTTCAAAGATTTCACATTTTTAATACCCAATGAAAACTTGTTTCTAACTCAAATTCACTGTTCAAAAATCTCACTTCATCTTTCCTCTGCTACTAAGTAAAAAAACATATTTTTCAGAAATACTGTTAGTCTAAGACCCCATTCCCAAAGATTTGATCGATCCAACTAGATCGACCTAACTCCCTGGGGGTTCATGCTAAATAGCTGTCAACCGAGCAGGCACGAAAGTTAATTACCCCCCTACAGCTTGTAGTAGACGGGACGGACATTTAAGCCAGATTATCTGACAGTAATCTAGTGAGACTCCCCACGGGGATAGATCGTTCTAAAATCTATGGGAATGCGCCCTAAGAGTAATGTTAATCATTTTGCAAGTTACTATCGTAATTACATGAAACTTAAACAAGTTTTTCACCTTGAGGACAGTATCGTTATCCCCGTGTGCTCCACCTTTTGTGAGGGAGTGGATGAAGCTGGTCTGGCGATCCTCATATATGTAACAGTGCTGCACCCTGTCCTTTGATGTCGACGTCTCACGCGCAAAATTGCGAAACGATGTTCTGTGATCTTCGTGCTGTTCAATGTTCCTAGTTAACAGAACCACACATAACCTGAAATATACGAATATCTTTGCTTAACTTAATAGTCAAGGTTTGATTTCTTTCTCACCATACTCACTGTATCTTATTATTATAATGATAATAATTGATAATTATTATTATGATTGGTCTTTATATTGTAAAAAACTTCTCACAAGACATGATTACAGTTTTGCTCACTATTATTCAATAATAATTTTTGTACCATTTCTGATATTCTGCTTAAACAAAAATCAAAATCAAAATAACAATAATTATCATACTATTTGTTCTGAAGAAGCATAAGCAGAGACAATTGGAGAAATTGCCACTGGCATAAAATTGTTGCTTTATGTATGTTTTGTTGTATGTTTTGTACCACAGCCAAGAGAACTGTTCATTCCATTTACTCAACAGGCTTTTAAAAAAATTTCGTTCCCTACATACTTTCTGTGAGCTCTCCTTGGTTCTACAGGACACAGTTCGTTGAACACTTTCTGTGACGACAGCCGCGGCAGGATAAGGTATTTGTTACTTTCTATCATCTCATCCATGGTGTGTCGGGCAATTTGATTGGTCTATAATACAGGAAAGAATATATAATCATTTCTCAATTTAACCCAGAGAGTAAAACCAATACACTGATAGGGTGATTGAATTTGTTTTAAAAAAATTCAACAAACTAAGGAAAAAATTATAAGGTATCAAGCAAGGAAAGTGTAACAGGTGTTAAAGATTGGGCCACAAATTTTTCTGTTGGTTGTAAGTCTTACAAAACTAAAGTCAGAATGAAAATTATCTAGCCCAAAGATCATGGGAAAAGCTATCTAAAACCAGGAACTGAAATTTTAAAAATCATTTCATTTTCACAAGTCCAACAGAATGTACAAGTTGACAGAGGCATTGTAAAATATACTCCCAAAAATGAAACCAAGCAGATACAATTTTGTATATTCAGTTAGTGGCCACAAACAAATATAGCGCGCACTTGACAAAGGATATACGCCTCCCACGCGTGCCGTCTCAGCAGGGGCAGAGCTTTTAAATCTCGGCATGCTTTCACCTGGGTCATGCCTAGTTAGTCCCTGGATCAACTAGTTGTGAACAGGGCTTATGATCACAGCCTGCAGACTGACAGTATCGGAACCAACAATCCACTTACTGAGAGTGTTGCCACTGGTGATTGCACATTCTCGTTGAAGATCAGCAATGTCTCTCGGAACCTCTGCACGTTGAAGGTATCCCAGACTTCCTCCGTCAGTCCTCCACTCATGTGAACGTAGCCAAAGGCAGCGCGGTCCTTGAAGGCAAACGCCGAGGCCAGCACGCGGAGACTCGGCACCTCACGCTCTGAGAAGAAAAGCACCCGGACTCGGTTGTCCTTCCAACTGCTGAGGAAATCTTTATAGTTCTTATCTGTCACCTTGAATAGTAAAATGAGTATCCCAGTAGGAGTTTTATCATTTTTCTATCACAGACTAATAATAAAATTAACTTTATTTGTTTATTACTTAATGTTAAAATTTTCTCATAAAGTGTGAAATTCTACATCTTCATTTACCAAGGAGCTTCTTGCTAAATTGCTTTCAGGTTAAGTGGCTTAATGTCTACCACGCCAACTGAAGCTGCTAAACGATAATTAACTACCCCCTAGCAGCTTCAGTAGGTGTGACAGACATCAGAGCCATTTAAGCTAAATGCAATATAGCGAGAAAACCCGATCCTGCTAGATCAATCTAGGTACAGGAACTGGGTCTAAGAGGCCAAACTCACCATAGTAATCAACCCCTGAGGAAACAGTCTCCTGATGAACTCCCTAATGGACTGTAGAGAGTATGAACTGGTGTGGAAAGTCCGTAGTCTGCCGCTGACCAGACCCATTATTACGGGGACGTCCGAGATTCTCAACTTCCTGGCCAAGTTACCATCCATCGCCATATGAACAGTGCCTATTCCAAGACCTGGAAGATTAACAGCATGAGCTAGAGATGAAAGTGCTCAACACACAACAGTTACTTATGCATATTTTTTCCCTTCATTAATTGGGGCGCAATTAAATTCAACATCTTTCTTCACAAATCACATTCTAAGGTTTTGCTGTACACAATGCACCAGCAGTTTTAAAATAGTTCAAACCAACCTAAAGTCTCCAAGTCTTGCACTGCTTTCTCCCACAATGGCTCCAGTCTCATGCAGTTGAAACAGAAGTCACCGTAGCCATAGATGAGAAAAGGTTTGCTGTGGCTCTCTGGCATAGCTCGGCTCTCATAGGCCCTGAAAGAAGATGAGCCAGGCCGTGGTTACACAAAAAAACTTAAGACAGGTTCCCTGGCTAAGAACTAATTTACCAAGGTTACAAGGTCACATGGGCACATCTTACCCTATCAGGAGCAGTGTAACAGCACCCTCATGGAACTGATTTAAGTTGTTTTTTTTCCACTTTATGAACTACAACACATGCAATTTTGACACAACAGAGAAATCTGTAAAACTGGATGCAAGTAAACTAACAGTATGAAAGATTTTCAGGTAGTGTTTGATAACTTTCTTTATGGATGCGAGTTATTTAGTGACTGGTGCAGCAAACTTGCTGAGGAATGTCGTAGAATAATTTTGGACATGCAAGGCCTCTGGGTTCGAAATTAAGGAACGATAACATCAACTCACCTTAGGGTCAGCCGGTATTTCTGTGAAAAACTGCCACCTCCTTGGCCACCAAAGTCAAACTGGAAGTTGAATGCTCCTCCTTGGAAGAAGTCATTGAAAGGGAAGCCATTGTGGTGATAGCGACCACTCTGCTCCTGAGCACTTGTATGGCCAAACCTGTCGTACTTGGCTCTTTTATCAGCATCACTAAGAGTCTGGGATATAAATTGAATGTTCAGAATATTAATGTACATGGATGTGTACTTATTTTTTTTCCTTGTTTATTCACCTATGTGTCTTTTAAGTATAAAATACACAGCTTGATAATACAATTTTATTTTGGTGATATAGTCCTTTTACATTGAGTTTATATCTACCAAAAATTCATTCAGGCATTCCAATATAACAGTTAAATTGTTAAAACAGATATATGCAGTTGGCCAAATCTCCAGCATGGTCTCGAAGTTTGATGGAGTGTTCTGCACTGAATTATGTGCCTTTAATATGCCTGACTTGATTAATACTTAAGAATTAAAAATTGATAAGAAGTAGGGGCATGTATTTACAGCCAGAGAAATGTATTGATGGTATCTGATGATGGTAATAAATAATGAAACAAAAAAGCTACTACAGTTAGAATGTCTCACAAACTTTATTTAATATGAACACAATACCATACCTCATATGCCTCATTTATCTTCATGAACTTTTCATGGGCTTCTGGATCCTCAAGGTTTTTGTCTGGGTGCCTATTAGTAAGTATCAAAAAAGGGTAAACATTATTTTATGCCACAGAGCAATTCTGGGGTCAAAAAATCTTCACTTTTGTTTTACCAACGTGATTTACCTACGATAAACCACTGATCTTTGTGTTAAAAAATATCAAATATCACAAAAGGAATATAAATGGAATATTTTAAATTTTACTAGGTACGTGCACGATTTGTGAAATTTTATCCAACTTCTACAAAGGGATACAAATCAATCCATATTAAGGAAAAATTTTTCTTTCACTCAAAACACGAGGAATCTTTTAAGTTTATGCCACCAGTGCGCTACAGAGAGTTTTATGTTATCTAATTTCTAATTCAATTAATTAATCTAATTAAGGTACAAACGGTACAAACCATTGCCTAGCCAATTTCTTGTACGCCCTTTTAATTTCTGAATTCCTGGCATTTTTTGCTACTCCCAAAACATCGTAGAGGTCCTCTTCTGCAGTTACATTACACAGATATGAAAATATTATGCACAGATGAAGAAAAACTAAAAAATTTTGAAAGAAAATTGACTGGTAAATCATTTCTGTCGGCGATTTAGTACCAAAATACGGATGTCGTCGTAATGTCGTAAAATGTCGATTTACCATTTTGTTGTGTGGTGTTTTAATGAATACAAATGTAAACACATTTGAAAGATTATTGATAAAAAATGAAGGTAAATTGCTGTATCTTTTTCATAAAATGATGTTTGATATAAGAAAAAAAATTCCTTAATCAATGGGAGAACAAATGGGAAATAAATGGTCATCGATACAGCACAAGATCATTTAGCTGCACGCATAAGANAAAATTGATAAGAAGTAGGGGCATGTATTTACAGCCAGAGAAATGTATTGAGGCCGTCTGATGATGGTAATAAATAATGAAACAAAAAAGCTACTACAGTTAGAATGTCTCACAAACTTTATTTAATATGAACACAATACCATACCTCATATGCCTCATTTATCTTCATGAACTTTTCATGGGCTTCTGGATCCTCAAGATTTTTGTCTGGGTGCCTATTAGTAAGTATCAAAAAAGGGTAAACATTATTTTATGCCACAGAGCAATTCTGGGGTCAAAAAATCTTCACTTTTGTTTTACCAACGTGATTTACCTACGATAAACCACTGATCTTTGTGTTAAAAAATATCAAATATCACAAAAGGAATATAAATGGAATATTTTAAATTTTACTAGGTACGTGCACGATTTGTGAAATTTTATCCAACTTCTACAAAGGGATACAAATCAATCCATATTAAGGAAAAATTTTTCTTTCACTCAAAACACGAGGAATCTTTTAAGTTTATGCCACCAGTGCGCTACAGAGAGTTTTATGTTATCTAATTTCTAATTCAATTAATTAATCTAATTAAGGTACAAACGGTACAAACCATTGCCTAGCCAATTTCTTGTACGCCCTTTTAATTTCTGAATTCCTGGCATTTTTTGCTACTCCCAAAACATCGTAGAGGTCCTCTTCTGCAGTTACATTACACAGATATGAAAATATTATGCACAGATGAAGAAAAACTAAAAAATTTTGAAAGAAAATTGACTGGTAAATCATTTCTGTCGGCGATTTAGTACCAAAATACGGATGTCGTCGTAATGTCGTAAAATGTCGATTTACCATTTTGTTGTGTGGTGTTTTAATGAATACAAATGTAAACACATTTGAAAGATTATTGATAAAAAATGAAGGTAAATTGCTGTATGTTTTTCATAAAATGATGTTTGATATAAGAAAAAAAATTCCTTAATCAATGGGAGAACAAATGGGAAATAAATGGTCATCGATACAGCACAAGATCATTTAGCTGCACGCATAAGACCGAACGATTTAGAGCTTACTTTTCACTTATTTTGTAATTTAAGATTTACAAAATTTACCAAAGACGTCTTATTTTCTTTCTTTTTTACCAATTATTGTTTTTATTTGTTTGATTTTATGTGTCTGTCCATTTGTGAATTCTTTTTGCATTCATTCATTCATTCATTCAATAATCCTTACTCTTACCCCCTCCCCCCGCACATTTATTTATTTTATTTATTTTTATTTTTTCAAACACGGAAGTCTACGTACATAGGGAAGACCTGCAGTGTGAGATTTGGTTAAATAGATATGCTTGAGTTATATAAGCACTTACGTTTTTATCTCCCTTTTTTCAAGTTTGTCTTGCATGTGTGGCATTATAACTAACATTAAAAAAGCAGACAGAAAGTATAATTTTCTTCAATAAGAAAAAAGTAAAAACCTAAAAAATTTGTTTGCTTTATAAGTCCTCATACAGGAGCTTTGCACGCTAACTAGGGTGCTTTACTTTATAGTGTTTTTATGCGGAGTTCCTTGAGAACGTATATGTCAGCAATCCTGGTCGATGGAGAAATATCTGGATCGGTATTATATATATGAGAGAGAGAGAGATCAATGGTTTATAAACGAGAGAAGCTAATGGTTGCTTTGTTTTAATATTTTATTCATTTGTAAATCTTATTTTATACAACATTACAACACAGACCTACTATAAAACATGTAGGTCTATTATAATATTCATTGACAAAACTCGTATTCTTTGAGATCGTCACCATTATTTTAACTTTGTTCTTTATTGAGATATGTTAGACGGTTTATAATAAATATGATATCTCTTGTTTCAATTTTTTACATTAAATACAAACTCATGCTGGTAAAAAATGTAAGACAAAACACAAGTAAATGTAAATTATGCGTACATATAATCTATGCATTTGAATCTGCTTGTGCATTATTATAAAATGACTGTGCATAAAAGGCTTCTATTTATCAACTTTTTCATGGAATGTATGGTCCGTTTTTTATCGTTGTCATGACGTCACTTTGTCCAGAACTAATGCACCCAAAGTTATATATGACGTCAGCTACCACACAGAGCATCTTTCTTCTGGGTTCATGGGAGAGCCTTTGGGGCATTTGAAAGCTTCAGCAAATTCTTTCATCTGAGAGACAGTCCCCAAAACCCTGTTTTGAAAAAAAATAAAATAAAAAAACAGAATGTTAAACAGTATAGCATAAGCTACTAAACAATTTAACTGTATTCATTTCCTCAGACATCACATTCACTAATAAGATTAAGATTCACTTTTTGATTTGACAGACCTACCGTACACTGACTGGAGCGTGAGAATCTGTTCTTATCAAAGTTTTCAGATATTTTGGTCTGTATTCCCCGCACCAGCTCTGCAAAATAAATTGTATTATTTAAGTTAAAGTCTCGTGTTCATTTTTGCTCACAATGTCAAATATTTTCATTTTTATTATGCCAAATCAGTTTGTAATTTTCAGATATACGCTTTCTTCTATGATTTTGAGAAATGTTAAATCTTATAGTAGTCCTTGCTTTCCATACGCTTTCTTCTATGATTTTGAGAAATTTTAAATCTTATAGTAGTCCTTGCTGACAATTTTGAAACATAATTCCCATAATTTTCGATAAAAATTCATATTTTAAAGAAGCATTTTGTTGTATGCTCAGCTGAAGTCCAGCTCACACTGTTAGTAGCGCGCTGAGTCACCGGTCTTGCTATGCTTTTTTGAGCTGACAACTAATTCCCCCAATGCAGTTAGCTCAACCTACAACTCGTAGTGTGCGCATGGAAAAATTGTAATATGATTTTTTTGCGCCTTTTGGGATAGGATTAGTATTATTTATTATTATATATTTAGTATTTACTCACCTGGGCAAAACTTATAAAAAATGCTTCGTGTGTCGTCCTGTTCAGTCCCGGCAGGGTGCGCTCTGGGCCGTTTTCTGTCTCCCAGTTTTTATAGGCCTGCGAAGAAATGGAAATGATCATCAACCTGGGAAATAATTCAGTTCACAAATGCGATAAAATATGTTATAGCTTTATTCTTTACGCCAATCTTTATACTGAGAAAAAAATAGCGTTGCAAGATTTGTGACTTAGTGCTATTTTGTCAAGAACGCATAATGAAATAAATCCTCCAAGTTTTTTTTAGATTGTTGATATTATCTTTTAATTGAAAAAACTTATTTCCACGCAGTTAAGAAGACCTTAACAGGAATACATACGTAATACGTTTGTAAAAGGCCGCCGATATCAGCAATGTTTTCTCCGAGAGTTAACTTCCCGTTTACCTAGAGCACGAGAACATAAAAAGAGAGAGAAATGAGGTGTTCGTCGACAGATTTTGGTAATGCACAGAAACGACAAGGAACCCATTAAATTATTTAACATGCCGTTCGATATTCTCACGCCGAGTTTCAGAAGTCAAATGCATTTCCTTATTCACTTTTCACAATAATTCATCTGTCTACAGTCTAGGCCTATCTACTCCGGCTCCGCTGGCTTGTCTGTATTCTACTCAATGGCAAGAGGAGACGAGTTGATCTGATAATCTGATTGCATTCAGCGGGAGCTCACGAGAATTAATGAGCAATAGCTAATGCGATAGAAACCCTTACTTTTCCCATAACGTCTACCACAGGAGTTACTTACCGTCATGTTTTTCACGGAATATGTCGAGTAGTAATCCGACACACATTTCGTACTTTCCTCGAATCCCGACCAAGCCTCTGACTGCCACCACATTTCTAGGTTACCATCCAAATTATATTTTGCTCCTGAAAAAGCATTTTCCCCTTATTAAATTAATATAGCAACTTTCGTTTTAGCCATCACATTTCTAGGTTTCCATCCAAAATTCATTTTGCTCCTGAGACGTGGTTTCCCCATTAGGCTCTACAGCGTTATAAAATCAAGATTGTCTGCATAAAGTTTTTTTTCAATGTTAAATTAATTCTATTCCCACCATTGAATACCTTTTGTTTGTCAATTATTTACAAAACACGAAGACAAAAAGAGTCAATACATTCAAGTTGCTAAAATTGGTAAAAATGTATACACACACTGGACAAAAGAAGTGTCACCCCCTAACTCAGAGTAATAAAAGTAGGCAGATCTTGGGTACTTATAATGCCTGGTCTACTTATAATGTGACTAATGAGTATAAAACCGCTATACCATGGAATTGTATTGTTGGTCTTGTACATGTACAGCAAATGTTATTCCTGTCTTCCTCCAATATGGCAAGATATAGGCAATTATCTAACGGTTATAGGTGCAAGTTATTAACCTGAAGAGGCGGAATATAAGCAATGTCAGAATATCGATACAATTGAATTGTTCAGTCAGAACCGTGCAGAGGGTCTGGTCTCGGTATAGAAACACTGGATCAAGAGACAAATTGCCTCTGATGGGTCGTCCAAGAAAAAATACTGGCCGTGAAGACCGACGACTGATTTTGATGTCCAGGTTGTCAAAGTTCGACACTGCTTGTCAGTTGACAACACAGTGGAACAATTTCACACATAAGAATGTGTCTGTGAAAATTGCTAGGCGTCGGTTACATGCTCAGAGAGTGTACAGCAGGGTAGCAAGACTGAAACCTCTTATATCGTTACAAAACAGGCAACGTAGAGTAAACTAGGGTCAACAGGATCTGGAACTGGACAGTTCATGACAATTGGTCCTATATATTTTTTCTGATGAGTGTCGCTTTGGTCTGACCTCTGATGACAGACGGGTACTATGCTGGCAAACTGCTGGTAAAGCATTTGAACCACATGCACTGAATTTTCGAACCCGGAGCAGCATATTCATCATGGTGTGGGGCTGCATCAGCATCCATGGCTTGGGCGAATTGATAGTGGTTAATGGAAACATGAATCACTAGAAATATATCGATGTTTTGGAGTCAGGCTTGCTACCATCTATTACTAACATGTTTGGTGAAAGGAATTATCCATCTGTTCACCAGGATGACAATGCTCCTTGTCACAGGCCCAGAGCAGTTGATGATTGGTTTGACCAACAGGACATTCGCAGGGTGATGTGGCCTGCCCAGAGTCCGGATGCAAACATAATAGAAAATGTGTGGAATGATATGTCAAAACTTTTTACAAATGCCCGTCTAACCAGCAGAGAAACTCTGTTATATTCAGTGTTTCATGCTTGGGCCAGCATTAGCCCTGAACGCATCAGACAATTATATGAAACCTTGCTTCGTAGACTGGCACCTATTATTAGGTCACGTGGCTATGCCACTAAGTACTAATTTTGGACTTGAAACTGCATATTTTGGTAGAATGTATATTTTGTTCTCATTTTGTGATTTTTTGTGAAATTTGATGTTAATAAAATGATACCAGGAGCATATCATTCCGCAGTCATTTATCTCCCCCATAGTATTGGCTCAGTAGGGGTGACACTTCTTTTGTCCAGTGTGTGTAACTCTAAAATAGGCCTAATAACGGCAATTTTCACTTACACACAAAATTTTCTTAACTTTGTGGTGTTCTTGGACTTTAACTTGCCCACAGAATATAAAAATTCGCTAGTTTTATTTAGCGAAAAATCTGCGTCCAAAGGAAAATTTTGTTATCTTATGATTCTTATCAGCTGAAACCAAACACACACGGTGAGCAGCACGCTGAGCAATTGGCCATCAGCAGCCTCTATAGCTCAGTGGTTAGAGCACTGGTCTTGTAAACCAGGGGTCGTGAGTTCGATCCTCACTAGGGGCTTAACTGCATCTATTTTGCATTCATTCCAGATTTCAAAAATCTTTTTAAAATCTAAATTGTGCCTAAGTAGCCTAGTGTATAGTCTTTCCATGCGCCCATTGCACACTAAGAAATTAGATGTTGCGATGTTAAATTCCAATGGAAGGTAGCAAAAAGAATCACTCCGCTAAATTTACTGAATTAAACGAAACAGAACAATTTTAATGTGAACAATAGAAGCTCGGCGCACACCGACGACAACGCGCTGAGCTAGAGATTTTCAGACGCCTCTATAGCTCAGTGGTTAGAGCACTGGTCTTGTAAACCAGGGGTCGTGAGTTCGATCCTCACTAGGGGCTTCTGCGACTCATAAATCTTTTCTTTATTCAGTTTTTGATTCATATTACAATTTCGTCTAATTTTAAGATCTATTAATTATTTATCTATATTTTATTCATAATTAATAACATGCATTTTATTCTATTTTTGGGTTGAATCTTTACCCATCTCTAGCGCACTGCACTCCACCTACCACAGTCATTAACTCGTCATTAACTCGTTTTATCAAGAATACACGTACAAAGTTTTCGCACTACATTCCATAACCAGGACCTAGCCGCCCTTGCTTAAGGGTTTAGTTTAGCAGTAAAAACTTTGCCCTTACCACTGTCGTCGAATCCATGCGTCAGTTCGTGGCCCACCACTGCTCCTATCATACCGTAATTCATAAACCTAAATTGCAAGTATATGGTAATAATTTATTCATTTATTTATTTATTTATTTATTTATTTACAGTCTTTAATCCATTCAAACTGTGTAAAACTCAAAATTTCACATTCTGAGAAATAGGTGTGAATCAGGAGAATATTTTCATAATACGATTTCTAAAATGACTGAAAAATTTTAATCCCTTTGAAAAAATTTAAGTATGAATCTTATTAAAATGAAAGTTCCTCTTTTTTCTGTTTATTTATTTATTCATTCACTTAAAAATCTATTTACCTTGGCTGGTTTTTATCGAAGAACGGCCATTGCATGATCCCAGCAGGAAATACTGAAAAAAGGTGGAATTATAGCTTTAATAAAATGTGTCTTTACGTTTATTGTATAGGGTTATCCATTGGATAGCGCTACCCTGTCCTGTATAAAACCGGATAGCACTATAATGTGTAATGTAAATAATACTTTATCAAACCATGAAATACATTTGTACGGCTCAAGGCCTATTGATTGTTATGGCAGATTAATACATGTACAGCCATACTGGCCCTCTCTGTGAGAAAGTAGAAAGTTTCCATTTGATCCCCTACATCAACGTAGCTTCTCTGGCTCCGTGGTAACTTCGCCGCCTTTGACAAAGATAGACACTTATATACGGGTTCGAATCCTGAACATTCATTGAGACTTTTTTGCTATGAATAATTTCTAAAATTTGCGTTTGATTACCATAAGAGGAAACCCCTAGGAATGGAGGACGGCGGGTCGGTCACGGAGCAGTCGGTAGCGTGGAGGGTTGCAAAAAATATACCAAGCCATCAGCAAGCCATGGTAACGACAAGTCACGAGTTCAAATCCCACATGACGCATGTCAGTTCACCACAACAACAAGCTGGCCCCGCAATCGACAACGAATGCAGGCTCTCGTTGGTGCGAACAAATTACCTTTTGCATAATTTCGATTTCTAAAAAAAGCACCGATGGTCCCCTCTTGAAATTAGAATTTTGACTCGCTGAATCATATAGTTCTAAACCGTACCAAGCGGCACCGTTCGCCCTCTAAAATACCAAATTTTCCGTCCCCGGACTCCACGCTAAGGAGGAGGGGGGGGGGAGGGTCCGCGGTCCGCGGTCCGCGAAACCCCCCACCCCCCACCCCTTTAGAAAAATCCTGTATCCGCCCCTGTAAAGTTAGTACGATAGTTTCTGGGAATGGTCCACCCATTTGTTTCAAACAATACAATTGAATAATCAAGAAACGATTTGGTTGACCGGTGAAGTGTTTTAAACCAAAACCAGTCTTGGTCTATCTCTGAACGCCACAGATCTACTGGTGCTGGCATTGGTACTGGCACTTACCCATTTGGTTTGACGTGGACGAGTAATACGCGTTCACCACCTGTGGATTCATGTACCACCTGGAATGAACAATGTTCAGAGGAGGATTTGATGAAACATTTACATGTACTAGTGCCTTCTTAGGCGGTCTTTAAAAAGGGATTCTAAACGAACAAAATTGTTCGTTAGCTTGGTATTTGAATATAAATCATAATTACTTGGCACAAACTGGTAAATGCGTTTTTTTTGTAAGAAACAAAACTAGCTTGGTTGCAACTTCGGAGACAAAGACTTTTCAAGATGGCCGCTAATTTGTAAGGGAAAATAAAAAAAAAGAAAACAGCCATTTAAAAAGTCACAATACCAAAAACACTGAATACCTGTTTTTATCCACTGGCTTCTTGAGTCTCTCTGCCGATTCTTTGTAATCATTGGGTATTCTAGCTAATACGTTTTGTAAGTAACAATCCGCACAGCTAATGTTCACCTGAATATTGGAAAGAAAATGATATTACAATTTTCGAAAAAAAAAAATAATAATTAATAATGAAATGAAAGAAACAAAATGAAGTGGAAAACAAAATGAAGCCACTAAAGGTGGGTAATGTCTACATATTGTGTTTATCATGACGTTGTAACGGTGTCTTTCGTAACAAAAAGTAATAACTGGTTTATTAAAGATAACAAAATGATGCATTTAAACAGTGATAAAGGTATTGCTAACGAACAGAGGTTTCAATGACAAGAAAATAAATAAATAAATAAATAAATAAATAAATAAATAAATAAATAAATAAAATAAGAAAGAAAGAAAGAAAGAAAGAAAACCACTGGTGTTCACTGAAACTTAAGAACTCGATCCAGAATCTGTGATTTCAGTGAGTCTTCTGTCGATAACGTCCACTCTATGTGGGCGCGATGAAACTTACCCCTTTGTACTTGTCGTCAAGGGCAGTGGTGTTGATGGCCATGGGTGGGTATCCGATCTTATACTTCATTGAATAAGCCTGGTAAAGAAACGAACACGGTGGTTACTGAATAAAGAATGTACTGTTAATATGAAAAATAACATGTATAAAAGAAATATACCTATAAACAAAGGCGACGAACGCAAACTGTCAAAACTTAATTGTTTGCAGTATCTATTCAAAGCAATTGCAATTTCTGAGAGAAGAAAACCATTGAAAAATACTACCTTTTCTTTCGCCGCTTCCTTCGTTTGCTCATCCATCCAGTAGATGGAGTCCAACCGTCCAACAAATACGTCTTTCACCCTAGCTATTAAATCTTCCGCCTAAGAAAGAATGAGAAAATGATTTTCGCCAATTTTGTTCCGTTGTAGTGTAGTACCTAAATATATAGTGACAGATCTTATGGCAGTCCACCACGTCAAAGAGCATGGTCACATCATACACACATATGATACCTGTATAAATGACAAATGCCCCGGCTATTTGAGACCTCGTTTAAGGTCGAAACAGACAAAGTGCTTGTCTAAAAGTTTGCAAAAAAATTTAGGCTACCTTTCATTTGTTAAGCAGACATCCCTGGAAACTAACCTCGGTCTTGCTCTCCGGGGAGAAATATTCTTCGACAAAGAGGCCACCCAGAGCTAAGCCGAACTGTGAATTTACGGCTGACTGGCAGGTTTTCCAACGGTCCTGAGTTTTTGTGGTACCTTCATGGAAATTATATAATTACATCCGATTCCAAGCTGTATCTTTGTATTTAATACAGCCGATTCCAAACGTTCTTACTTTTTTTAAGCGAATGCTTATTTTCTAATATTAATGTCAGTACAAGTATATGAATTCAAGTAACAGCATTAAAAGCAAATTAGAAAAAGGATGCGTTTGTTTAAATACAGAACTGCCGATGTATTTTCAAAATTATTGGAGGCATAAATATTAAATCGTCATTCTCTTTCTGTCTATGTGTGTGTTTGTGTGGGGGTGGGGGAGGGGGAGGGGGAAGGGCTCTGGAAACGCCTATTAAAACAACCAACACTCACCTCTCCTAGCTTTCTGATAATCTTCCATCGCTCCACGGAAGTCAGATGAAAGGAGATGTAAATAGCCGCGCATGACGACCCAAACTAGGTAACTGTTTAGTACTCTGGAATGATAAAACACCGCCAATGAACAGTCATATTAATTTTAATTAGTATCTTAGCTTGAAGGTATAATATCCGTTGTCAAATCGAATTTTCCTTGAAAGAAAAGTGAGGCGCTTTGTTTATCAAAAAAAAAAAAAAAAAAAAAAAAAAAAAACGGTACTCTATTGAGACATTGATGCTTACTTTGGTTCCGTATTATCTATTAATTCCGATAAATTTCCAAAATATCTTCTGTTGGTTATAATAACTTCTGTAGCGTTCGTGATGTCATCATAGTTGTGCGCAAAGAAAGACACCCAATCTACCTAGAAACATAAAACATTAAAGAATGAAAAAAAAAATGAATAATAAGTGACTATAATTCAAAATCCTACATATTTTAGACTTTTGCTGTAACATATGTAAATATAGAATAACAGTTAAATCTACTGTATAATTTATCACTTGTTATCATTAATTTATAAACTTGAGAATGATTTAATTATGATTATTTCAACCTAAAGACTCCCAGTTTAAGCCTTATTAAACATAGTGGACCTAAATGTAAGGCATTTTTATTGTGTGGTGGTGTATAGAAGTGTATAAAAACTTAAAATAAATTATTTATCTTTATTCATTTTTATTCTTTGGAACAAATATTTCTTATTCAAGTTGAAAATTATTCACATTTAATAAAACGAGATAAAATCGGAATATTTACATATGGAGATAATTCTTTAAGCTCGCCCAGGGTCAGTTTGTTATACAGCAAGTCGGGGTCGATTCTTTCTGGAGCGTCTGTGGCAATGGTGATCTGGAAGAACATAATATGTGATAACTGAATCGCTTGTCGCATTCGGCCGACCTCGGATGATTCCGCGCTTCACCGGCAGGATGCGTAGATGAACGAAAACAGCCGAGTTGTTCCGTACTTGTTTGGAAGCTCATCCATTGCGTTATGCGTATTGCCCTATTGCACACCGACTACGAATTCCACGCACCGCCAGGAATTGATAAATTTTAAAAATCGTCAGTAATCGTGGAATTTTGCAGGTGGAAACCTTGAACCTGCAGGATTCAGTTACAAATTTATTAAGATAGACTTAAGAATATTCGTTGGATTCTGCTCGAACAGCACAAACAGTTAAGGCTTGCAAGAATGATTAATACGAGTATTAGGATTCACCAAGTATACTTACATTTGCTAAACTTTTTTCGAACGTTATAATATCTTGAACGAACTGTTCTGTCGCGTTTTCGTCTGCACCCATGAGAGCTGCTATTCTCACCATGAATTCTTTGTAGGCTATATAGAAGGTGCTTGTGGTTTCGTTTTCAAAGTAATAGCTTCTGTCCGTTGTTAAGCCGCCTTGGTCAATCTACAGAAAATAATGAAATGATTACAGACATACAGTACCATCTTTTTGTAGCAAGAAAAAACTTTAGTCTTGGAATTTTCGCATAATTTCCCCTTATCACCGAGGTTTTCGCTATCAAAACTGTTGAAAAAAAAAACGATCTTTATAATTTCATTAAAAACGCTCAATAAGCGATATCAATATTTTTTTTCTGATTTATGAGAAAGAGAGAGAGAGAAAGAGACAGAGAGAGGGTCACCTGAATAATATTACGAGTAGAATTTCTGTCGTCTGCGGTGATGTAGAATCGGAAGAGAACGCTCCTGTCAAATGTGTATTGCGCTGTTATCAAAGCTGTGGAAAAATCCCACAAGGTGGCGTTCCAATCACCTGAAAAAAGCACATGACACATATGACTAACAGAAATGTTGAATCATAATACGCTCAGAACATATAAGCCAATGCATGTGCAAAACTGTATAGTTACGTAACTGATGCATTATTCCGCTGCCAAATCAACAATTTCTCTATTAAAATATTTAGATATTTGTGATTTCCGAAATTGCCGGTAGATGACACCATGAGTTCGCGAGTATTAAAAATTCATAAATCATAATCATTAGAAACCGAATGCCTTAGACTCTGAAACACAAGGTGTGTTTTAGAATAGGACACAATTTATAAGCAGAAAAAGAACATACTGATCAGCCAGAGAGAGAGAGAGAGAGAGAGAGAGAGAGAGAGAGAGGGCGTCTCAAAGATTTATTTTTGTATTTAGTGGACAAAAATAACCTAAGGACGTCATCTAAACGCGAAAACATGCGCTGCGCTCTGCGTGAAATGAAGAGCATTCTGTCGTGCGTAATCAATAGGCATAGAAAGACAGTGAGGCTTATTGAGTACATCTCGGTGGGGGTGAGAAATATATATATCTTTAGTTTTTTAATTGAAAGATGCATCTTTTTTATATTGCTTGTAATTGCCTTCAGATTTTGTTCATTAGCATTCTCTTTTTTTCTTTTTTTTTTAGTTTTCGTCATCTTTTTTTACGATATGTTGTTTCAAAATGTGCTTCCATAGCTAATAATACGATACGATGTGTAACACCCCTGAAAATGAAAATATTCTATGTTCCAATTCAAATATTTTCCGAATAGATTCTAAAGGACGAAGTAGATAAAGATACATTGGCCTATTCCAATAATCAAATACAGACAAGACGTATAATCACCCTACTCAAACAAAAAGCTCGAGATACCCACAGCACCTGCGGGAAGAAAACAATCAGACAATCGTAAGAATTAAGTAACCTTTGTAGCAACTAGCACCCAGTATTTTGGGTCTTAGGTAGCAACAAACGAGACATTGTGAAGAGAGGGGCGTCCGCGGTAAGATCAGAGGCACAGTGGTATCAGTTTGTCAATTCTGGGGTCGCCGAAGACAGGCTCTCGGGGGCGATCTTCCCATAACTTCTGTGATAAGACACTGCGATAGCCTGATAGCAAACCTATGGAGTAACGTGGTCTCTTTTGCATTGGCTAAACGCACACTTGAACTATAATAGATACATATCATTTTTATTTGCATTATGGATAAACGAACCTAGTTATCTATATTGATTAAAATTTCAATTTGAGGTTATATTAAGTCCTTTGGAAGTCCACATGAAATATCCCATATGGAGGTATATTTCTAATATAGAAGTCAAGAACAATATCAATCAACTAAACATTAATGTGAACAGCTAAGAAAACAAAATATCAAATTTAAAAAAGTAATCTGGCGTTGGCAGTTTTAAGATTTGGAAGGTACAGTTCGTGTTTTCTTCCTTTTATGTAATCTAATACTTTCCTTCTCTCTGTTCAATTAGTCAGTAATAATATCCGAATTGCTTATTACACTTTTTAAATAATTCCCTGCTTTTTGTTACAGTTTTACTGGAAATAAAATTGTTACAAAATTGTACATGTTAGATTTAAATAAACGAGTTCAAGAAGGCAGTGAGAGTAGACAGTATCTTCAAATTCAATAAGTTATTTGAAAATTATTAGATGATCAGTTAAGATTGATATATATAATGATAATTCATCATTATTTACTGGCCTCACAAAGGTAAGACGACGTTGTTTTCATCGCGAGGATTTCGGCCCTCAATTTTGACCAAGTTACTTTAAATTTAGCAAACTTAATTTCAGAAAAGTTTTATTTAAGTGGAGTTCTTATACATTTCAACCAGTGCCAAAACAAAACACTTTTTACAGCAAGACCAATTCTCCGAACCGCTTTTAATAGAATTTTTGAATGGGAGGTTAGAAGTAAGAAGGTGCACACTTAAGCGACTATTTTTGGAAGGGGGTTATTTTCATAGTGTCTTGTTTCCTTTTAGCTTGTCGTTCGGATGGCACAAACAACTACTTATACTATAACTTTAAAACGGTGAGAACAAGCAAGTTACTTAACCAAAGAAGACGCAGAAATAGCCGATGGAAAACACAGAAAAAGACACCCAATTTATAACCATTTGCGTCAGAGGTCTGTTTTTTATTTTTGTTTTGTCAAATTTGTTTGTCCTGCACACAATTATGCTTGGCCGGCAATTTTTCATAAATAGAATAAATAGAAATAGAACATGTTAGAATTCGGAGAAAAAGAACATGTTAGAGGCAGTGTGTGCATGTTTGCGCGGTGTTTTGTGAAGTGGAGGGCTAAGGCAAACAACTGACACATGCTTACATTTCAAATAAAATTAAGTGCCGGTTAAGATTATTGTTAAAAATTCTAATGCAAAGAGAATAATTCTTAAACAAAAACACTTGTTGGTCGTTTATTCTGTTTGGCTTACTCAAACACAGAATTGCTGTAAAGTATTTATTTATTTATTTATTTATTTATTTATTTATTTATTTATTTATTTATTTATTTATTCACTTGGACAACGAAGTTTTCACACCTCCAGAAATATGTTACAAAAGAAATGGCTACAAAATTTAATGTTCATGAACACTGATTCATGGATTGGATGTTGACTATTATATATTATTGTCATAGTCTCAAAGGTGAAACGGGTGACAGTGGGTAAAAACCCCGTTGTAATAAATAAATAAATTCATATTCGTATCTTGAGTATCTACATAAAAATATAAATGGGTTATTTAAAAAAGATGGATGGCAACACATGTAATAATTTATTTAACTCAAAAACATATCATAGTCATTCATTATTCAAAGCTTGTGCGATTTTATCTTCTTTGTTATCAAACGCAGCCATTGTTAAGAAGGACTTTGGTCTCTACAACCTTTTTCTTTTCTGTCTTGTTTGTTTAGGTCTCTAAAATGGTTCGAATTGTGTTGTTGTGATGTATTTTTGTGGGGAAATAGAATTGAGCCTGGAAGTAGTACAATGCTCTTTGTATATGTCGCTCCCCCTACTCTTTCTCTCTCTCTCTCTCTCTCTCTCTCACACACACACACACACACACACACACACACACACACACACACTACCGGCTCCTTCTCATAGAGCTGTTTTTTCTTTCTACACGTAGATCACGTACGCTGACTTGCTGAAACAACGGTTTTATGGCGATACGAGAGTAACTACTGTGTAAAATAAACATTAAATGCGTCCTCAGGCACTTACAGTTAACTATGTGTGGAGAGACCAGGGCGTAAACATATGACAATTACTTTAACTTTTCAAACATTGTAAATTCTTAAAATTCACTTTTCAAGATTTATCATTTTCTGACACTCACATAAATGTGCTTTCTGTCATACAGTTATTTATTTCACTTTTCAAATCTTTTGAGTTAATATCGTTGACAAAATATTATATTTGGGGGTAAATTATTTATTAATGTTGTTCGAATGCTTGGAGTATTGACCGTGTCGTCGTTTTTTAAAAATGGTTTTGTGGTTTTAATTCGAAACTCGTTACATTAAACAACCGCACATTATTTACATACCACATGAGTTCATGATTTGTGCCTCTGGATTAAGTATTTTTTTTTTAAGTTTTGCTTTTTATCTATTGCATCATTGTGTACGCACGTGCCTGTGTGTGTGTGTGTGTGTGTGTGTGTGTGAGAGAGAGAGAGAGAGAGAGAGAGAGAGAATGAGAGAGAGAGAGAGAGAGAGAATGTGTGTATCCATACGCGCGCGTTTTTGTGTTAAGTGTATGTCTAGCCTTTTTCAAATAGTTTAAAGGGACACTTTTGAATTTAAGGTGCCCAGTGCTCCTAGTATCAACACATACACAAACAAAAAAAAAAAAAGCTCTTTGCAGTCAAGTTTCTATATCCTGACGTTAGCACTGGAACGGACCGTGTTGAGAACGCGTATGGTTGGTTCACGTTGGTCACGTCCACATTTTAATATATTCATGACGTCAGCTTCACTACACGCTAAAATACACAATAATTCGACTGAAAAATATGTTAAATCATGGGCTAATGGGTCAAGCATGATTGTAAAGTTTTCAAGCTTCATCGTTCCCTACACGGTTTTCAGCGTCTTTAGGTCGCAGGTTTACAAACTTATCATAAAACTGAACCAAACTATCTTAGCCATTTACAGCCTTTTTATAACGGAGAGAACCACATAAAAGTACCCTAATACACCACGGTTATGATAGGTAGCCTACGTTAAGGTAGGAGCTCTGTAAATGGCGCGTTCACAACGGGGTTTGTGATCTCGATCTTTGTGACGCAGACTCCAGATGAATAAACTTCATAGTAATCATGTGGATGTCTTTATCATTATTAGTATTTAGTCAATTTTTTTTTTTTTTTTGTGTGTGTGGTGGGGGGT